TTGACACCGCTTCGGAGTAAAGTTTTTACGAGCACACTCCCTCTGGAATGCTATGAGAAGTATACTTTGCAACATTTTGGTTTTCATTAAATGCTCACCGTCTCCGAACCAACTTTTGCACGCCGTGTGTTTAGGCGCGTCTGCTAACACCGGGCGCCTAAATGCATGCTTTGTACTGCTGTATGTGTAAAAATTGCCTTCAATAAATTTATGCAATTTTTGCACATGTACTTCTCAACTGCCATAAAACTTTCTTATGTTGTAATATCACTACAAAGTATGCGCGGACTCTGCAGAACTTACAATCATGGAGAGGTGATAAATGAGCTTTACCATTGGCCACAGTGCCTACCCACCTTTTTTGTTCGAAGAAATATTTTTTTTGTATATAAATTGTCTCCCCTCTCACTGATTTATTCATCGTGATTCTAGTTGTTCCAAAATGCATAAACTCATCTTATGTACAATACATTCTTAAATTTGAAATACATATACTATATATTTGATTCTGACTTCAGCACACATAGTTTTTCCCTTCACTGCGTAAAAGTAAATTTTTCGGAGCGATGGTTGGTTGCTATGCTTTTAAGCAGCTTACCGACATCATTTGACACGTTGGTGACAGCCCTGGAAGCAAGAAAAATGGAGGATCTTACCTTAAAAGTTGTAGAGGCAAGTCTGGTTGAAGAATGTGCGCGGCAAAAGACTGTGAATGTGGATACTGCGTTGAAAACTAGCAAGGACGAAAATAACGTAGCAAAATTTGTGAAGCGGTGCCATNAAAATTCAAGAAAACGAAGGATGGTAACAGTGTTAACGAGGTTAAAAATGGTGATCAGGTTAAAGGCGACTACTGTTTTTCTTTTTCGAACGATCTGAAATCGTGGGTTATCGATTCTGGAGCAACATGTCATATTAGTTCAACGAAGGACGATTTCAAAACTCTTGACATGTCAGTGCGTGAAAAAGTCACTGTGGCGAATGGTCAAAAGGTCACTTCTAGCGGAAAAGGTATTTGTACAATTACAGTTTTAAATAGCAAAGGCGAGAAAAGTACAGTGAAGGTGGAAGATGTACTTTACATTCCTTCATTCCAAGGAAAACTCTTGTCAGTCAGCAGATTTTTGAAAAAGGGTTTAGTGGTACTATTTAAGGAGTCATCATGTAGTATTCAGACGAAAAATGGTAAAGAAGTTGCTGCAGCTGATGTTTGTGATGGACTTTTTCGGTTGAAGCAGCATGATGGAGAAGCGGCTATGCAGATCAAAAGTTGCAGGTTGCAGAAACGTCAACATTACTGGCACAAGATATTTGGTCATCGTGATGTCAACTCATTTAAGCTTATGCAGAACAAAGACATGGTAAGCGATCTCAAATTAGTAAA